TAGTGCCTGAGGGATGCCTCTTGTAAATACGTAAATTTTATAAAAAAATATACATGATTTTCAATTTTTTTTTGCCGTTACAAATTTGTCGTTGCCAAAAAGTAAAGCTTTCTCGACAAACAATTTGTCGGTAAATGTGTAGCCAAAAGTTTATTTTTGCCCACTCATTGTGTTGCTAAAAGTGTATTTTTTGCCAATGTCAATTTGTCGTTGCCAAAAGTAAAGCTTTAGCGACAAACAAATCGTCGGCAAATGGCAACATTTACCGACGTAAATGTGTCGCCAAAAGTTTACTTTTGCCGACGCATATGTTGTTGCTAAAAGTATATTTTTTGCCCATGTAAATTTGTGTCGCGAAAAGTGCCACACAGTCATCATATTTGAATGACTTTTACCAACGCAAGGTAAATTGCCGACGATGGATGAAGGCTTTTATCGACGACTGTGTTCGTCGCTAAAGGCATTACTTTTACCAACGCAATGATAATTTCGTTGGCAAAAACTTTTGCCAACTCACTTTTGCCTACGGGTTGCCAACGTAGCTTTGTGTGTCGGCAAAACTCTTTGCCAACGAATTTTTCCTTCTAGCAACATATTTTGTTGCGTTGCGAAAAATGCAATTTCTTGTAGTGAATTGACCAAATTTTCTGAAACAAAAACAAGATCAAACGATAATAAAATCATTGAAATCTTTGAACCTAGACCATTTGACACGATAATCCAACCGCTTCTAATGAATTGGAGCGATTTAGAAGTCCCTCGACAATGGTTAATCCATTACCTAGTGAAACGAGGAGAATCTTCTAAAACAAAAAATCCTGTACAAATGCAAATACAAACGTCAGGAAAAAATTTATATATTCAAAATACAGTTCCAAAAATTAAAAGAGCAGCTTCTGTATTTGAAAAAGATTTTCCTAACAAATTATTGTCAAAATTAAGCATTGGTGAATTAAGTAATAATTCTAATCAAGAATCTATTACTTCAACAAATGTTCAGATTCCTATTTTTCTAGGAATAAGAAGACAATCTAAACATATTAAGTCTACATATATGTATCATTTTCAAACAAAAAATGATAATATTATTTTTTTCTCCTAACCAAGGAAAAAGAAGATACACATATGTATTAGGCACATTTAATTTTGCAAGTTATAAACCTTATAGCCTTAGTGTTCTCATAGATACAGAAGCTACAATCAGTTCATGTAAATGGAATGCCATACCAAAAGAAAAATGGACATTAATAAAATACCCAATTTTGGTTATTGGAATTGATGGCAACCATACTTCCATACAATTCAAGGCTAAAAACATAGCTATTTGGTTAAATGATAGCAAGTTCATTATACCAAAAATTCTATGCTATCCTTATATGCATGGGGATTTCCTTCTTGAAAATAATTTTATCTATGAGTACCTTCCGATGCAAGTACAGGAAAAAGCCATTTCATCAAGCATAAATAACGTCTTAATTCATATTCCCTTATTAGAACAACATAAATATAATTGTGATAAAGAGTTTGCGTCCATTCAGCGTGGTAATTTAACTCCCATCATCAAAATTATCGATGAATCACATTGGATTTATAAAATTTTGGAAGAAAATTTTAGTAAACATCCATTAAAACTATGGCAACGTAGTCCGCGTTATTGTAGGTTGAAATTAAAAGACCCTAATGTTATCATTAGAGTAAGACCAATGATCTATACTAGACAAGATATAGATGAATTTGATATTTAATTTTAAGAACTTTTAGACAAAAAGTTAATCGAAGAAACTAGAAGCCCTCACTCTAGTCCAGCTTTCATGGTAAGAAACCATGTTGAAATTAAAAAAGGAAAAGCTAGAACGGTAGTCAATTATAAACGACTAAATGAAAATTTAGAATTTGATGGATATTTTATTCCAAGAAAAGATGTTTTGATTAATTAAACCAAATGATCAAAAATCTTAAGCAAATTCGATTGTAAGAGTAGATTTTGGCAAATTCAATTGACTGAAGAATCGAAAAAATTAACAGCTTTCAATACACCTAGAGGACATTACCATTAGAATGTTATGCCTTTTGGTTTAAATATAGCACCCCCTACTAGAAAAATGGGTATATGACACGGAACCTTTAGCGACGGTATATTTTCTGTCGCAAAAAGTAACCTTTTGCGACGGTTAATATCTTGTCCCTAATAGTCACTTTTTGCAACGACAATTCCTGTCTCGAAAAGAGAGAAGGATATGTTGGATGGTTTTTGCAATGGCAAACCATTAACCGTCGTAAAAGACTTATTTTTTTGAGACGGCTTTCTATCCCCATCGCAAAAAGATTTCTTTTGCCATGGCCTTTGTTGTCGTGGCTAATGGACCCAAAAAAAAACGCTTCTTATTCTCTCTCTATCACGCTTGTGTTTCTGTGTCACACCCTCCTTCTCCTTCGCCCCCTTCTCTCTCTCTCTCTCTCTCTCCACTGCCGTTGGTACATGAGCACATGACGACCACCGCCATTGATATCACCATTGCAAACTAGCAACCATTCTCTGAAATCGAGGAGACGCAATAGAAGGAGTTTGACATTGAGATCGCTGGCCAAAGTTAGAGGCTAGAATCGACAGAGGCGGCAATTGAGATGCGTAGTAGGGGCGGAATGTAGTAGGGGAATCAAAAACCCTAATTTTATTTCTCTTTTCTCTCTCTCATATATATATATATATATATGTATATATAAGCAGTTTCAGATCTCTCTCTTTCTTCAATTCAATTTACAGAACATGATGATTTGCTTTGTTTTGCTTTGATTGCTTTCTCAGAACTCAAAAACAAAAACAAAAACTCTATTCGATTCATCTAAAATTCTCATTTTCTCCGAAATGGGGTTGTGGGATTCCCTCCTCAATTGGCTCTGCAGGTAATTTACTCCCTTCTCTTCTAATCTTCCATATTTTTTTTGTCATTCTTCAGATTGTCTTTCTCTTATTTTCTTGGAAATGTTGTTCATGGTTTATTAGGTTCAACCTAGTCTCACATTTGTCACAAAATTGAAGTTTTTAAGCTCAAGAACAACCTATTAGTGTTGAAAGGAGAAATTATAGTTCCTTTTATATCTGGTTGGTTTATGGGAAACGACATGGAAATAAAAGGCAAGATTTTGGATTGTTTTGCTCCTTGAAAATGTATAACAAAAACTAACCCAATTAAGAACTATACAATTTGGATTGAATAACATTGGAATTAACTGGATTATGTTTCCTATTGTTTCTCATTAATAACAAGCTGGTATGTTGACACTCTATACTCTTGCACACAACTTTTCGATGACACCTCTCTCTATCATGTATCATGTATGGACTGTAATATTGATTTGTATTGAGTACACAAAAAGTAGATTATAGAGATAGTAAACTTCTATTTAAAATAGTTATCATAGTTTTCATTACTCAGAATTTTGACACCTAATAAGAAAAGGGAGAAGGATAGTGTGTGTATCACTTACAAGATGCATATAACATGTCTTTTTGTAATAACGTCATAAAATTTTTTAACATGAACAATAAAATGAAAAAGTTGTATATAACATGTCTTTTTGTAATAACGTCATAAAATTTTTTAACATGAACAATAAAATGAAAAAGTTGTATATAACATGTCTTTTTGTAATAACGTCATAAAATTTTTTAACATGAACAATAAAATGAAAAAGTTGTATATAACATGTCTTTTTGTAATAACGTCATAAAATTTTTTAACATGAACAATAAAATGAAAAAGTTGTATATAACATGTCTTTTTGTAATAACGTCATAAAATTTTTTAACATGAACAATAAAATGAAAAAGTTGTATATAACATGTCTTTTTGTAATAACGTCATAAAATTTTTTAACATGAACAATAAAATGAAAAAGTTGTATATAACATGTCTTTTTGTAATAACGTCATAAAATTTTTTAACATGAACAATAAAATGAAAAAGTTGTATATAACATGTCTTTTTGTAATAACGTCATAAAATTTTTTAACATGAACAATAAAATGAAAAAGTTGTATATAACATGTCTTTTTGTAATAACGTCATAAAATTTTTTAACATGAACAATAAAATGAAAAAGTTGTATATAACATGTCTTTTTGTAATAACGTCATAAAATTTTTTAACATGAACAATAAAATGAAAAAGTTGTATATAACATGTCTTTTTGTAATAACGTCATAAAATTTTTTAACATGAACAATAAAATGAAAAAGTTGTATATAACATGTCTTTTTGTAATAACGTCATAAAATTTTTTAACATGAACAATAAAATGAAAAAGTTGTATATAACATGTCTTTTTGTAATAACGTCATAAGCTAATATAATGGCCAAAATTGACCATCTAATTTACATAATTCTTTGAAGAATAAAGTAGAAAGGCTCTGATAAAAATATAATGTTCCAAAGTCGTCAATTTGTCAAAAAACCAGTTTGGACTAGCCAATTGGACTGGATTGGCTCAGATGTGGAGCTCTTATAGACCAAATGCCCAGGTGACCATAAAGTTGATGAAATTCAAAAAGTGTAGCTGCACTAAAGCTTTAACTTTCTGGATTCATCATGAGTGGACAAATAATCTACCCAGATGATATGAATGGTGAATTTGAAACTATTAAAGTATCATCTAACAAAAACATGTGGATTTTGATTACTATTTAGACTGTCTTTTGAAAATTGAATGAGTAATTTCAAATACCAAATGAGCTTATCATATATGATAAACATTTGAAGCTTGAATATTGTATTGAATACATCTTATATTTAAAACGTCTCTCTAGTATTGTTTTGCATGCACAGCTTGACTCCTCTTGGAAGTTAAAGTCACTGTTTGTGTGTCAATTAGTGTTGAACATGTGGTGTGGTATGCAATATGATGGCCAATTATATCTCACATTATACACTTATATAATTTAATAATTGCAACATTCCTCTAATTAATTGGCTGTCTTATGTAGGTATACCCCCTCCATGTCTAGTACACAGCTTTTTCCAGAAATGCAGCGGAACCAATATTTGGAAAATGATCGTGTTTGTTTGGATGGACATCGAGATTCATTCCACTGCTCAAATTTTTGGGACGTGGATTGGCTTTCTTCATCGGGAAATTCATGTGAAGAAGAAACTTATGAACGGTGATTTTTAAGATTCTGTTTAAGTAATGATTCATGTAATGTTGTTTTGAAATAAGCTTAAAGTTCAATATTTTAATTGCTGTCATCATCAGCACCACTTCATTTATTTAGTGTCTGTCACTGCCAAGGGCCACCTCTTTTTTTTCCTCTACTATCATCGCCATCATCACCACACCTATACCCTTTGTCAGCCATCAACAACTTTGTGAACAAACATTCTTTCACCCTTCATCTTTAATAAGAGAAAAATACTACTTTCACATAGTAATTTACTGTAACAACAGGAACCAAACCAAACCAAACCAAACCAAATTAAGCCTTGTGTCCCAATCAAGTTGGGTTGCTACATGAATCATTTTTATCATGCTGCTCTGTCAAGGGTTATAGACTCAGTTAAATTAAATAAATTCATGCCCTTTCGTTGACATCTTCATTTGTTCATAAAAGTTGTCATCAAATATGTGTGTATATTGATGCAGATGCACAAATATGACCACTATCATTCATATCTGTAGATATTATACTTCCCTTGTCATGTTCTTAAATTCATACAAATCCACACGACCTTCCTTGCCATGTTCTGTGGTTTGAACCGTGGATTTAATAGCTGCAGATCTATGCTCATAAGCTCTCCTATTACCGGTACATCATCAGGTAACGTTGTTACTGGACTTAAAATGGAGTCAAGTGCTTCTGCTAGTACATCTGGGTCCAGCATGAAGGTCAGTAATATATTGAATCTTTCTAGTGGCACTGTCATGACATGGTATACTTGTCAATCAGAAAATATGCCATGCATACATATTTGACAACTATGGTTCACAGGTATAGGCAAAGTAGAATAGAATAGCATTAACTTGCCCTATTATTTTTTCCTCGTGTTTGTGCTTGTGAATCTTAGATTTGGATCTTGTCAGTTACAACTGTTTACTTTTATTGCCATATCTTACTTCCTTGTCTTGCTTTCTTTGTTGACTAACTGACCTTAGATGCATTGTTCCTTTTGGATTTAAATTTTCTTGGCTTTTTTTTTGTATTTGTTTTTGGTCAGCATTTTCATGGCGTTGATACACTTTGCACATTATGATGATCCCATTTCTAATGTATTTTTAATTATTTTTTTTAGTCAACCAAACATGGGAATTGACATTTTGATGGAATGACTTTTTATTGCACTTCATTCCAGTGATCAGTGAACCAAACACTACCTCAATTCTTCAACATTTCCATGTGAAAATCTAAAGTAAATTGAGTGCATCTTCAATAATCTTCAACCAAATTTTGGGGAACTGTGTGATCTTATCATAATTAGGGTCGCAATTTGGGTGAAGTCTCAGTTAAAAGGATATTTTTATTCAGCTAATGAGATGGTGCATAATTTGCAACAGGTGAGGAGGAGCATTGGATCTTCAATCAGGCTGTAGAGGTTTTCTCAGATGGGAGTGAGCAAGCTGGAGTATGATCTGGTTTTGTGGTATGCTTTTCCTTTGTGTTGCTATGCTTTACTTAGTGCTTTGGCTGAGTGTGGTGTAGTTTGCGTAGTTTTTGCTTGACTTTATTGGGCTGCTGTTTTCATTGGTGTTGGCTATCTGATGTACTCATGTGTTTGGGCCACCCTTTTGTCTTGTTGTTTAGTTGTTTTTTCCTTGCTACGTTGGTTCCTCACCAACTCTTGATGGTGTGCTAGTGTGCTTATCGGTGCCAACCTCGTTCCTCGGCTCAATTTATCCATCAATTCAATCTCAAACCCTTCAAATCCCAAACTCAACAGGGTAAGGGAAACTACCCATTTCCTCATTCTCTCTCTTCATCATTCTTCTTTTAGTAGGTTTGATAAATTAGTACTTCTCTGGCAAATCCATTTCTATGACTTTGTAATGTTACTAGAAATTATGTTTGTATATGCGATTCTGAAATAATATGTAAATGGTCTGAATTAGTGTGTAATAGAAACCCTAATACTTTAATTGGAACAAAACTTAAAATGTAATTCAAAATAGATTATACAAACCCAATTTGGGAATTCAATATTATAGTGTTTCTTACCTCTATGTAATTTAATTGTTATTAATAGACATTGGATTGTAAAAATATTTTCAATAATGGGTTCGTATTTAAATATAATGATTTTATTGTGTAATATGGCACTAGTTTGTTTAACCATTCTTAATAATTAATATTCACACATTGTGATATTGATCTTATAAGTTTTTCTGGCATTATCATAACAAAATATTGAGAACCGATTGACACACTAAAATACATAAACGGTGTCGGATGTCAACGAAACTTGACACACACAATTAGCTAGGCATAAATGACATATAGGAAAAGACGGGACTCAAAACTAACTCTCGGTTTTGAATCTAGAGCCTAATTCCCATTTGTGAAAATTGTCCTTTAAAAACTCTTTTTCAGAAACGGTTGACATAATAAAATGGTCAAACGGTGTTGGATGTCAGTAAAACTTGACAAACATGACTAAATAGACACAAATGACTTGTAGGAAAAGACAGGACTCAAAACCGATTCCCGATTTTGAATCTAGAGCCTATTTTCCGTTTGTGAAAACTTGCTTTTTAGAAACTCTTTTTCCGAACCAGTTGACTCGCTAAAATGCTCAAACGGCGTCGGATGTCAATGAAACTTGACACACACGACTAACTAGACACAAATGATTTGTAAGAAAAGACAGGACTTGAAACCGATTCCTTATTTTGAATCTGGAGCCTAAGTTCCGTTTGTGAATACTTATCCTTTAGAAACTCTTTTTCGAACACACACTAAAATGGTCAAACAACATCGGATGTCAACGAAACTTGACACACTTGACTAATTAGGCACAAATGAGTTGTAGAAAAAGACGGGACTCGAAACCGATTCCCGTTTTCTGATTTTGAATCTAGAGCCTAATTCTCGTTTGTGAAAACTTGTCCTTTAAAAACTCTTTTTCGAGCCAGTTGACACACTAAAATAGTCAAATGGAGTCGGATGTCAACAAAACTTGACACACGCGACTAACTACGGACAAATGATTTGTCGAAAAAGACGGGACTCGTCCTCTTGACATTGATTATTTATTCTTTGTTTTGTGCCACCTATATTGCCTTTTTATTGTTGTTAATCTCACATCTGTTTCATGTCTACTAATATGAACTATTAGGGGCTGCTGTGTCTGTGTTTAAGCACAATTATTTGGCTAGATTTCTTGTTTTGTATTTATTCAATTATTGTTAGATTATAGGGGAATGTGTTCAATCAATACTTGATTTTAATAGTATTATCATTATTTTACGATGTAATTAAAGTTTCTTTGGATAGTTCATGTATACCAATAGTTCAATTGGTGGAGGGACTTCTTATTAGTAACAATCCGTTGTGTGACATTGATGGAGTTCCAATTAGGCCCGAATGTTGCAAAATCTTTGTCTTAAAAGCGAAAAAGCCGAATGCTGGTTTGGAAACACCATCTTGAGTTCCAAGAACAATTGGAGAAGCTGTTGGAAGATACATTGTGTGGCGCTCGATTCATGTATATGTTACAATCTTATTTATTTATTTATTTTTTGAAATAATATCAAATATTTTATAGTTTTTGTAAGCTTGGAATTAATTATATTGTAAATAATTTTTTATTTTGTTTTTTTGTTTTTTTTTTTTTTTTCCATTTCACCCCTTTTATCTTTCACATTCAGGTAAATTCTCTCTCTCCGTCTCTCTTTTAACGTGAGTGTTTTCTTGACTTGCATGATCCTTTTCTTGACTTGTGTTTATTTGTATTTTTTTTTATTTTTTGTTCTTCTGGTATTTCTTATGCTGTTTTAGTGGAAGTTCCTCTGTTTTGTTTTGTCTAAAAGTAGTTCTTTTGCTAGATTATTTGTTTTTTGCTTTAATTTTGTGGTCCTTTTTTGTGTTTTTCTCTGTTTTTTTCTTGCAGTTTGTGTTCTTCATTTTCTTGTGTGGTTGTATTTTGTCTCTAATTTCTGGCTCCTGCTAGTTTGGTTCTGGATATATGTATATATATATGTGATGCTGTACCATATTGGGGGTATTTTTTTGTTTCTTTTCTGGTCTTTTCGATTTTGCTTTTGATAACATTTTTGCCAAGTTTTTAATTTTCAGTTAAAAAAAAAAATAATTAGAAACTATTTTGACAAATATATAAACAACTGAAAAGATATTTTTGAATTTTAAAAAATTGTTTCCGCCCCAAAATGATCAAATAATATGAAAATAATGTGTATCTTTTATTTTTTATTTTACCAAACTTGTTTTTTAATTTGTTTAGAAAATAGATTATGAAAAACCAATCAAAACCCTTTTTTTTAATCTGGCCAATTTTTTTTGTCTAATATATGGTGGGTTTCTGGTCCTTCAGCTTTATTAGCATGCACTTAAAGGTCTTGCTGTCTATGTTTTTTTTTGGGTTTCAAGGCTTGTGGTCGTTAATGCTGGGATATGTCTTGCTATCTGTTAAGTATGCTTATTTTTTTAGCACGAGTCTCAGGTTTTGAGACCCTTATTTGAAGTTGGGTCTTCCTCTTGAGGAGTTGAACTGAGTTAAATGTCCAGAAAGTTTTGTCCCTGCCTAGATCAGAGTGCTATCTACGCCTTTACATTTTTAACAACCAATACTACCTTTTAATGTGATGAGGTTGATTTTTTTCTTCTTCACACATATATATATCTTTTCGCAGGCTTGTATTTGGTGATTTTAGCATCCATTAAGGGTAAAATGCCTCCTAGTCATATCAAATGACTTGTGCTTTACTTATTTTTTAGCTTTGACATTTTAGTGTTATCATTTGACTACTTTTCCCCCTTTACTTCCTGAACTTCATACATCTATCGTTTTCCACAATTTTCACAGCTTCTGGTTGTGGCAATTGCTTTTGTATTGCTGTTCTATTTTGGCTTCAGGATGTATAGCTTTTCTGTTGGTTCAATGGCTTTGAGTTTTGTCTCCTTTTACTCGGGTTTAACACCTTTAAATAAATATAATTTCATAGCTGTATTTTTTTCAGACATTTCTGATAACTTGAGATGTATTTTAATTATTTTCAGTTTAGGATCTGATGGATTCGTTTGAACACGATGGAAATGGTGCGACAGAAGCTTTGCCGCCTCCCCCACCTGTTCCACCAAATATTGTTCCATTGCAAGCAGAACCAGATCATGCGCCTGAACCAGTTAAGAAAAAGGTCATGCGTGTTCCAATGACTAGACGTGGCCAGGGATCCAAGGGGCAAAAGGTTCCGCTCCTAACTAATCACTTCAAAGTGAATGTAACCAATGTTGATGGGCACTTCTTCCACTACAGTGTATGTTTCATATCTGTCTTTCTAATACTATGTCACAACTCTTTCTGGAATTTGATGGAATCTACGAAGTTGTAAAACTCATTCATACTCGTTTTTTGTTTTTTTGCATTCTCTAAACAGGTTTCGGTCTCTTACGAAGATGGCCGGCCGGTAGATGGCAAGGGTGTTGGAAGAAAAGTGATTGATAGAGTTCATGAGACTTATGACACGGAGCTAGCAGGAAAGGACTTTGCTTATGATGGCGAGAAGAGCTTGTTTACAGTTGGTCCCCTTCCTCGGAACAAGCTTGAATTCACTGTTGTGCTTGAGGATATATCGTCAAACAGGTATAGACATAGAGTGCTTTGCTATTGCTTTGTTTGCACGTTTTTATTGATGTTTTGTTTGTATTATATATAGTAACATGTTTTTTATTTTCATGTTCAGAAATAATGGTAATCGCAGCCCAGGAAGTCCTAATGAGAATGACCGAAAGAGACAACGACGACCATATCAATCTAAAACTTTTAAAGTGGAGATAAGCTTTGCTGCTAAAATTCCTATGCAGGCAATTGCAAATGCATTGCGTGGTCAGGAGTCGGAGAACTCTCAAGAAGGCTTAAGAGTTCTTGATATTATCCTGAGACAGCATGCAGCAAAACAGTGAGTGATAATTCATATACTTGGAAGTTAGAAGTGTGCAAGGCTTGATTTTATCTACTTTCTAACCTAATGAGGGTGAATTGCAGGGGTTGCCTTCTTGTTCGTCAATCTGTATAAGAAATCATCTTTATTTAACTATG